CAATCAGCCCAAATATCAAAGAGAAATTAAAAATGCTGCCGTGGAAGAGTTCAGGTCTTAAGATGAAGTGACAGTAACTCTGTATTTACTGAACAGTTTGTTTCAGTGGTTGATTGTCATGCTTGATTCATGTGTCTGACACAGAGGTCAAATAATCTGCACCATGAAAAAACAGGAAAACTGAAAGAGGAAAGTGTGCGACAGTGTGGACCTTCCCACTGGTGTTTATTCCACCCATAAAGACACAGAATGAGACTTTTCATATTTCAGTAAATGCCTTCTGCTTAATTTAAAGGGTGCATTGAGCAGCGTTACAGGAATAAAACTTTGCCCACAGCTTTAATGCTGGTTTCTGTAAAACCACAGCGGCACCACCTCAGGGGACAAACTGCACCCATAAACATACAATGAGGCACTTTATTTTCCCACAGTGTGCACGTGAAACAACTAATTTTCCCTTTTTATAACTAATCACGCACGAGTTGTGATTATATCTGCACACGTAGCTGTGAGGCTGGCTCACCTCGCTCTGCAGCTCAGCAACTGTTTTAGCAAACTGAGTCTCGGCGGTTTCTGGGAGCTGAGAGTAGAAACTCTGGGAGAGGCTCCTCCTGCCGCCCTCTTTGTACTTACTCTGAGGGGAGACAGTACAAAATAATGCATCAGATGTTCATGGTGGACCTGTGGGGATCCTGTGAGTCAGTAATGTAAAAACACAGAACAGAGTCTTGTTGTTTTTAATGTCTTATATGAATCTATCAAAGGAAACTTCTTCTTCTGCTCCTCATTCAACGCTGTGAGAACAAATGGGAACTTTCAGGTCTCGAGAATATTTCTGACATTTTGCTGCCGAGTCCAACAGCACGAGAGCTTGTGGAGAGTTTCATCTTGTTTGCACACAGTATGTTGTAAAGGTGCGCCTGTGTCGTACCTCGCTGTGCATCTCAGTCATCTCTCTGGCAAACTGGATCTCTGTGGTGTCGGGCAGCTGCGAGTAGAGAGAGGCGGGAGCTCCTCTAACCATCGTCTTGGGGCGATAATTCACCTGGGACAGAGAGCGAGTGATGAGAGGCTGAGCTCAGGGATAAAACAGAGAAGACGACAACGGCAAAAAACAGAACGATTTCAGAAAAAGAGCCATCTGTTCAAACTCTGAGCCTCTGCTGCTCGTTCAGTAACGCCCAGGATGGCTGCGAGGCCTTCCTTCCTTCCTTCCATCCTTCCTTCCTTCCTTCCTTCCTTCCTTCCTTCCTTCCTTCCTTCGTTCCTTCCTTCCTTCCTTCCTTCCGTCCTTCCTTCTGTCCTTCCTTCCATCCTTCCTTCCTTCCTCTCTCCTTTCCTTACTGTTCCTTCTTTTGTTGCTCTGCTTTCTTTCCTCGCCTTTCCCATTCTCCTTTCTTTTCCATCTTCTCCTCGCCGTTTCCTTTCTTATGCCCTTCCTTCCTTCTTTCTTTCTTTTTCATCCTTCCTTCCTCATCTATCTTTTTCTTCCTCTCTTAATTTAGTTCTCTTTATTTTACTTTGTCACTTTCTTTCTTCTTTCCTCTCACCTGTTTCCTTCCTGTCTTTATTTCTTTTCCTTTTCTCTCTCTTTTTTCCTTTCTTCATCTCACCCTTCCTCTTTCATCCTTCCTTCCTTCTATCTCTTTCTTCCTCTTTAGTTTCAGTCCTGTCTTTATTATTTTCTTCCACTTCCTTTCTTCTTCTCTCACCTTCCTCTTTTTTTTCTCTCTTTTGTCCTTTCCATTCTTCCTTCTTTCCTTCCCTCTATCTTTCCTTCATGTCTCACTGTCAACTTTGGTGTAATTTTGCTTTTTCTTGCACTGACAGATATTTGTAAAAGACGATCATGGATACAGTTTGTGTGTGTGTGTGTGTGTGTGTGTGTGTGTGTGTGTGTGTGTGTACCTCACTCTGCAGCTGTGACACCTCCAGAGCGTGCTGTATTTCTGGAGTATCAGCGAGCTGGGAGTAGATGGAGATGGAGGCCTTCCTCTTCCCGTCTTCTTTGTACTTTTTCTGAAACAGAACGACATCAGAACCAATCAGAATAGACCAGGAAGTAACAAGACACAAACTAGTAGCTCTTTACAGATGAACTTTAAAGTCAGTGTAGCGGACGTCTTCCGAGCTCTACAGCTGCATGAATCTGCCACAGTCAGCGTGAGCAGCTGTGATACGGGTTCAGCTGAAACATGTTGACACAGAGCTGCGGTACAACAGCCGAGTACCTCGCTCTGGAACTCGTGGACGGTCTTGGCGAGCTGCATCTCGGTGGTTTCGGGAAGCTGAGAGTACAAACTGCTGCTCATCTCCTTCTTTCCCTCCTCCTTGTACTTGTTCTGAGGAGCAGAGAGAGTTTCAGAGGGACGAGTGGTGCTGACATAACACTTCATTCACTCATCTTCATTTATTTTCCATTTTAACATTTAGTCTCAACAATCCATCCGTCGGGTCTGACCTCGCTCAGTATCTCAGACAGCTCTTTGACAAACTGAGTCTCTGTGGTTTCTGGCAGCAGAGAATAAAGGGACGAGGAAATCTTTGTCTTCACGTTTCCTTTGTATTTAATCTGAAAAACAAACACACGCGACTGTCAGTGCTAAAGCCAATGAAACATTTTTAATGAGAAATTTAACGGTCTTGTGTTCAGAGTTTCAGTCATAGTTTCTATGAGAACGCTGTAAACGTGGCTCGTGTGGAGAAACTGACTAAAATCTGGCCGTACTGAAGTTGAACTACCTCGCTCTGCAGCTCTGAAGCCTCTCTGGCATGTTGCGTCTCGGGAGTCTCCGGCAGGATGGAGTACAGCGAAACAGCCGCCTCCTTCTTCCCCTCCTCCTTATACTTAGACTGAAACAGTCACATTTCAGCACAATGAGCAGACAACTCGATCAATGTTTAAAAGAGAGAGAACGAGTCATCGTAGGGCCAATTTTAGACCCCAGAGATGAGGAAATGTTAGACAAAGACAGCAGATCTGGCCTGGTCCTCACTTAACATTGAAGCACAAGTACGATGTGTGTCAGACCTCAGAGATCACAGCGCTGATGTTCTTGGCGTGGATGAGTTCGGCTCCGGGAACAAACAGACTCTGTCCCTTCATCTTCTCGAAGTCTTCTTTATATCTGACCTGGAGGATGAGACACGAGTGTTAACGTGTTTCTGAGCCGAACTTCTCGTGAACTTGAGCTGCGTCCCCACGAGGACCGTGTGATGTGTTTTTCAGCCGTGCAGACGTTTCATCCCTTCAGGTTGTGAGTTTCAGAATCTCTCTCTGCTGCCTACCTTTTAATTAGCATCAGAGGATTGAAATACATTAACTGCATTATGTAACTTACACTGGGGATCAGTGACAGCACAAGCCGACCCCGTTACATGAACTCCAGGTGAAGTATCACTGCTACACCTTCTCCTGATTGGCTCCTGCCTGACTGAGCTCTCCTCTCTTCTGTTTGGCATTAGGTTTTATCGGGTGGGCGGGGCTTGTGTGTCTCCAGAGCTGCGTGGGCTCTCCAGAAAGCTGATTAATTGGTTGTACGTTTGGGGAATTTTGTGGGCTTTCACCATTGTTGTATACATATACGTATAAGTTTCATTATTTAATGGTTAAACAATGAAACTTATATCTACAGTTACTCTGGATGTCTCTTAATTTCTGGATTATTCTCAGTTTTATTCTCTGTTCAACAAAACAAGCTGCTTTTATTAACTTCATGATCCCAGACTGATTAAAACTATGCAAACTCTCTGTATTCTGGTGCTTTGCTAATGAAGTGACCTGCAAATAGTTCACCATATATTTTCACAATGTGCAGTTTGGTGTTTGTCTGAATCTGATTGGATGTTCGGTCCAATAACAGCCTGGCAGATTTTCTGTAGAGACTCTGGAGAAAAATGGAATTAATCCACAGACGACAATCTGTCACAGCCAATCTGTGACAGGAAGTCAGTGTGGGCAAAAAGCGACAGGTGCTTAAAGTACTAAATACAGCTTCGATGGCTTCTAACCAGGAACACGCGAGGCCGACTTCAGACTCAACACAAATAAGCAGAACAACACGTTCTCAACACCTCGACACAAACCAACGCTTGGTCAGACACCTATTCTCACCATATTTTTAATGAAGTGGCTCTCAAACAAGACAAACATAGTTTAATTTTCTTTATTATTTAATATTAACAATAGAAAAGGATGAAAGTTGAGTTTAAAGGAAATAAAGGTGAGCACAGTGCAGTCAGCAGACTCCTGTTTGTACACTGTTCTTACAAAACTCCCACAGCCACTGTCCCGAGGGAAGGGGGCCCATTAATCCTGTTTCAGTTTATTTACACCTCATTTTATGGTTTTTAAAACTCGTCCTTTTGCTGTTGTTCAATCAGGTTTAGCCATTACTTAGTTAGAGTTGGGGTTACAATACACTCCTACACCATGTTAAGCTTCTCAGACACGTCCTTGGTTACCGAGGTTAACCAAAGCCCCATTGGCTACCTGAGGCTTGCTATAAAAGTGAGCCAGTCTCCATATGGGATGGCTGTGGCTCAGGAGGTACAGCAAGCTATCTACCAACTGGAAGGTTAATGGTTTGAGCTCCGCCTCCTCTAGTTTTGCCCCTGATGTCTTCACTGAAGTACAAAAGTGTGATTGTTAGTTTAAAAGTGTTTAGATGTAGAAGTTGAAGAGTAGAAAAGCATTATTAGTTCTAGTCCATTAGCCATAAATGTCAGTATTAAACTGTAAAGCAGAACATTTTGTGCTTTCTTGGGCACCTTTAACCTTTCATAACATCTGCAGAGAAACGTCTTCTATTCTTAGGGCTCAGTGCGAGCGGTTGGACCTAGCAGCGGTAGCTACATCTATATTTTAGAAATGGTCTGATAAATGTAGCTGTCTTCATTCAAGTTGTCACAAACACAACTCTAAATTGGTCTTTTGGTGGATGTCAGCTTTACCATTTATAGAATCAACCAAAGAAAAAAAATCTGATTTTTTCCACCATCTGTTGTGCAAATTCATTAAGATTCTGCCGAAGGATGGCAAAGTCATTAGTGTGTGTTACACCTCTTAAAAGGATGTTTGAGGGCAGGTTTTCTCTCATGTAGAGAGCGGCTGGAGGAATAAAAGTGAAAATGATTTCATCAGGTGGGTTGAGTTGCTTCCACTGTAGCTGATGACTCATTCTGCTGTTGCTAACAGCCAAGCTGCCAAGTTTGTCTCACACCAGGGAATCAATATCTCACCCTCCCACATCCAACAGCAACATTCAGCCTCATTCAGCGTTTTACTCCAAAAGGCTGTTTTAGAAGTCAGAAAGCATTTTTTCTCCTTTGAGTATATTTTCTCTGCGTGTTGAATAAAGGGCAGCGCTGCACTTTGGTTACCAATAGCAACGCTCTTCGTGCTGGAAGAGAGGATGACACATTTCTGTCTTACGCCTCGAGAAGTTCACATTTTATTCATGAGTTACAAATCAGGCGACGCAAACAGCAGCAGGTGTTACGCACCACGTCGGACTTCACCGTGATGACATTTCAGCCCGAGAATTTAGCCGAGCTAGCAGCACGACATCAGCAGAGCAAACTGGGACCCCAACGGCTATTCTGCTGGTGTAGCCTCTCAGGCCTCTGCTGTGGGTGGTGCATATGCGAGCCGAAGTTTCCACTTTTGCTTTTCTGTGACGGGAACATTTACAATTGCAGAGGCATTTAATCTTAAATCACATGATAATCATTGTCTGCATTTCTAAGCAGTCTGCTTAGAGAGATGGGAACATGATGACAACGCTTTGTGTCATTATGTTCCCAACTGTCACATTGACAGCCATGAAACTTTTCACAGATATTCACATGATCCTCTCTCAGAACTGAATCAATGATTTCAAAGGGCTGAAAACTGGAACATTCAGGAGCTTCCTCACTGCAGTGAACCTCATTAGTTCTGTTGAAATTAGCAGAATGATGTTGAATTAGATTTGAATATTTTGGCAACTAGTGCATGATTCTTTCTGCAAAAAGCAAAAACAGAGCAATAGCAATGGCCTCCATTTCCCCCGAAGATATTTAAAAAAAACGAATAAACAGGGTTTTTCTTTTTTAAAGATGAGGCTCAGTTGTGCTGTTGGTAATACAAAGAGTTCATGTGGGCAACAAAGTATTTCAAGGAAAGATCCTGTTGATTCGTACACTTCTCAATGTCACTGGACAGGAGCATCGATCGGATCAACGGTGGAACGTCACCTGGTACATTTACTCAAGTACAGTTTTATTGTTCGTGTAATGTATTTGAGCGTCTTTATGTTCTGCTGATTTTATTTCTAAAGCAAGTATTTGAAACTTGAAAAAAAACCTGACCCTTGAACTATATTTTAATGCAAACATTGTGCTTTCTATTCCAAAACATTAGTTTGAAAGGTTTACTTACTTCTGATTTTTACATTTTAAAATATAGATCTACTATTGTGATTATGAATTACAGATCAAACCACCAGGCAGTTTATAAGTTCATAAAATCCTCTCCAGCTGCCTAAGAAGGAGAAAATGACGACATTATAGCTGCTGCACGCCGTTAGCGTGTTAGCACACACGTGTGTTTGTGCATGCTGCTCAAACTAACTTACAGTGCTTACACTAAGTGCAGCATCACAGAGTTGTACACACAACTGTAGACAATAAGCATGAACGGTGACATTAAAATAATGAGGTGACACTGAATGAACTCACGTCACTGGCGAGCAGGCTGCACCTCCTGTTAAACGCCGGGTCTGGCAGCGGAGGCTTCCCGTCAGACGAGGCCTGAAAAACACGAGACGATATATAAGAATAATTCTGACATTATATAGACAGAAACCAGGAAAAAACATTATTATCCTTGGATGTAGGAAAATTCCAGCATTTACATGAGTGGCCATTAACCCTTTAAGACCTACCATAGAACCAAGTCCGCCAGAGCTTATATTATATTTTTACATGCTGTAGTGCCATTTTGGGAGCATTTCAAGTTGCTATACATCAATACAACTGTTATAGCCCATATTTTAATAATATGTATGCATTAAGTCCATAGTAATTACATTAATTGCAAAAAAGTGCAATAAACTACAAAAAAATTGAAAATCGTTTTTGTTTTTTTACATATATTTCTACTTGGAGAAATTTAAGAGGCTTATCCCTCAAAACTTTAAATACAAAAAAGTTGCAAAAAATAGTTTACAACAACAGGAAATTTATTTTGAGTGTCTTCATAGTTTTATTTTTGAGATACACCAATTTTTATATACTGCAGGAAAAACAAAAAAATCCTATGATGCAAATTTGCAAAGAAAACAGCAGTGCATCAAAATAAACTATTTAAAGCAGTGCAATTCTGAGTTCTAAGCATCCCAGAAACTATTCAGAAAAGCATAAAGTCAAACATGACTTATAAAAACACCAGTATAGGCTTTTAAGGCCTACAAGTAAAAAACTCATTTTCCGCGAAAATGATGTCACTTCCGGTTTCGGACAGGTAATGGCGGACATGCGATAGTTCGCACTGACGTCTATTTCAATGTAGGAAGTGTTACGAACAGCTGATCGGATCGGCAAAGCGTGTTTCTGGAATATTATGTTTTTGTTCCTGCAAGTGCTTTTTATGCAATTTTTGCAAAGCTATATGTGGAAGGAAACCGTGACCTGAGGACAAGCTGATGGCATAAGATGTAAGTACAACTCCTCCGGTTTCATATGCAAAAAAAATTATTGCGCTAGCTTACGTGGTTCCGGTTCTACAGGGATTTAAAAATAGTTACAACGGAGCGTGCCCGCTCCGACCGGCTTTAAAGAGTTAATGCTAAAACTAACAGGAAAAATGCAGGTTTGATGATTTTATTTTTAGATGAAATCAGTTTTGCATCCATTGTTTGGGAAAGATTTTAAAAGCAGACAAGCCTGAGTGAAGACCATTAAACACAGTATCCAACATTTCATTTGCTTCTCACACACCTACATGATAACATGGAAACGCTTATAAACAACGTGGTTTCAGGACATTGGGCTGTCATGCCTTTGCTTTATTTCACTTTTTCAGATGCGATTTTATGATGTCACATGGCACGGAAAATGGTCAGAGTCAGACACACGGGTCAGCTGTCCTCATGCAAAACCTCACAGCACAAATGAGAGCAACATTAGGTAGAAGTCTAGTGTCCTTCATGACACCTCTGCATGTTACCAGGCTGCAGACAACATGTTGAGCATAGAGTTTATTCATGCAGGTCAAAGAGTCAAGATCAGCCACAATCATGCCAAATTAGCTGATCTCTACAATTCTAATTGCTAATGTTTTGCTGCAAGCCTCTTTGCAACCCCACCAACCACTCCATGGGTATAAAACAGCAATGGAAGTCCAATGAAAAGAGCAATAAAGTCTTCCTGGCTGAAGTAGAAACTGATGGACTGACTTCACTAACGATCCAGAGCAACAGAAAGCTTTGAGTCAACCAGTGGAAACTTCCCTAATTCATGCACTGTTAATCCTTTGACTTTCTTAACAGGCTGTATTCAGCCCCCAAAAATCCCACTATCCAAGGCTAATAATGGCACATTTTCATTTGTAGTTTCACTAATCCTCTCTAAGCCTTTATAAAAACCTGCAGTGCCAGACAAAGGCCTGCGCCAAGGTCAACAGAAAGACTCCCACTCAGAGCTTAGAGGTGTGGGGGTGTGACTCCTCTTAACAAAATTTGCTGCTCTACAGACTTCATCAAAGAACAGGAAGATTCTCAAAGTGTTTGCTAGTTTGAGAACATGCTGCTGTAGTTAACAGGGAAATCAGTCAAAGAATAACCAAATAAGCACAACTTTTACGGAGATCTCCTGCTGCCTCCAGAAGCTGTTTCTCTCTGCAGAACAATTATGTTTGTTCTAATTAGACTGATGTTAAGACCATTAAGATTTGTAAAGAGATCAGATTTATCATGGAGGCTTTCTAACACTAGAAAATGGTGGGAAACTTTATTTATTTTCTCTCTTTTATGTTTGATGAGATGAGAGCTGCACAAATGTAACTCAGGGAAGCAGAATTTAGCCCTTTTTCTGAAAAGCCTTGAAACTATTTTAAGATCCTCTTTGGTGTGAGCAGCAGGCTTCACGTCACTGGCGAGCAGGCTGCACCTCCTGTTAAACGCCGGGTCTGGCAGCGGAGGCTTCCCGTCAGACGAGGCCTGAAAAACACGAGACGATATATAAGAATAATTCTGACATTATATAGACAGAAACCAGGAAAAAACATTATTATCCTGGATGTAGAAAATTCCACATTTACATGGTGGCATTAACCCTTTAAGACCTACCATAGAACCAAGTCCGCCAGAGCTTATATTATATTTTTACATGCTGTAGTGCCATTTTGGGAGCATTTCAAGTTGCTATACATCAATACAACTGTTATAGCCCATATTTTAATAATATGTATGCATTAAGTCCATAGTAATTACATAAATTGCAAAAAAGTGCAATAAACTACAAAAAAAATTGAAAATCGTTTTTGTTTTTTTACATATATTTCTACTTGAGAAATTTAAGAGGCTTATCCCTCAAAACTTTAAATACAAAAAAGTTGCAAAAAATAGTTTACAACAACAGGAAATTTATTTTGAGTGTCTTCATAGTTTTATTTTGAGATACACCAATTTTTATATACTGCAGGAAAAACAAAAACAATCCTATGATGCAAATTTGCAAAGAAAACAGCATGGTGCATCAAAATAAACTATTTAAAGCAGTGCAATTCGAGTTCTAAGCATCCCAGAAACTATTCAGAAAAGCATGAAGTCAAACATGACTTATAAAAACACCAGTATAGGCTTTTAAGGCCTACAAGTAAAAAACTCATTTTCCGCGAAAATGATGTCACTTCCGGTTTCGGACAGGTAATGGCGGACATGCGATCGTTCGCACTGACGTCTATTTCAATGTAGGAAGTGTTACGAACAGCTGATCGGATCGGCAAAGCGTGTTTCTGGAATATTATGTTTTTGTTCCTGCAAGTGCTTTTTATGCAATTTTTGCAAAGCTATATGTGGAAGGAAACCGTGACCTAGGACAAGCTGATGGCATAAGATGTAAGTACAACTCCTCCGGTTTCATATGCAAAAAAAAATTATTGCGCTAGCTTACGTGGTTCCTGGTTCTACAGGGATTTAAAAATAGTTACGAACGAGCGTGCCCGCTCCGACCGGCTTTAAAGAGTTAATGCTAAAACTAACAGGAAAAATGCAGGTTTGATGATTTTATTTTTAGATGAAATCAGTTTTGCATCCATTGTTTGGGAAAGATTTTAAAAGCAGACAAGCCTGAGTGAAGACCATTAAACACAGTATCCAACATTTCATTTGCTTCTCACACACCTACATGATAACATGGAAACGCTTATAAACAACGTGGTTTCAGGACATTGGGCTGTCATGCCTTTGCTTTATTTCACTTTTTCAGATGTGACTTTATGATGTCACATGGCACGGAAAATGGTCAGAGTCAGACACACGGGTCAGCTGTCCTCATGCAAAACCTCACAGCACAAATGAGAGCAACATTAGGTAGAAGTCTAGTGTCCTTCATGACACCTCTGCATGTTACCAGGCTGCAGACAACATGTTGAGCATAGAGTTTATTCATGCAGGTCAAAGAGTCAAGATCAGCCACAATCATGCCAAATTAGCTGATCTCTACAATTCTAATTGCTAATGTTTTGCTGCAAGCCTCTTTGCAACCCCACCAGCCACTCCATGGGTATAAAACAGCAATGGAAGTCCAATGAAAAGAGCAATAAAGTCTTCCTGGCTGAAGTAGAAACTGATGGACTGACTTCACTAACGATCCAGAGCAACAGAAAGCTTTGAGTCAACCAGTGGAAACTTCCCTAATTCATGCACTGTTAATCCTTTGACTTTCTTAACAGGCTGTATTCAGCCCCCAAAAATCCCACTATCCAAGGCTAATAATGGCACATTTTCATTTGTAGTTTCACTAATCCTCTCTAAGCCTTTATAAAAACCTGCAGTGCCAGACAAAGGCCTGCGCCAAGGTCAACAGAAAGACTCCCACTCAGAGCTTAGAGGTGTGGGGGTGTGACTCCTCTTAACAAAATTTGCTGCTCTACAGACTTCATCAAAGAACGGGAAGATTCTCAAAGTGTTTGCTAGTTTGAGAACATGCTGCTGTAGTTAACAGGGAAATCAGTCAAAGAATAACCAAATAAGCACAACTTTTATGGAGATCTCCTGCTGCCTCCAGAAGCTGTTTCTCTCTGCAGAACAATTATGTTTGTTCTAATTAGACTGATGTTAAGACCATTAAGATTTGTAAAGAGATCAGATTTATCATGGAGGCTTTCTAACACTAGAAAATGGTGGGAAACTTTATTTATTTTCTCTCTTTTATGTTTGATGAGATGAGAGCTGCACAAATGTAACTCAGGGAAGCAGAATTTAGCCCTTTTTCTGAAAAGCCTTGAAACTATTTTAAGATCCTCTTTGGTGTGAGCAGCAGGCTTAGTGTGCTCCCAAACGTTTCTGTGCTGTGATGAATTTCCTTCTGTTTTGAGTATAATTAAAGCACAAATCCAGGTTTGTAAAAGTTTCATCTCCTCATTGTGTGTTTGATGAGTTTGTTGTTTCTGACAGAGTTTATAAATCAGTCAAATTTCGAGGTTCTCACCTCTGACTCCCACGACACCAGCAACCTCTTTGCTTTTGTATCCTCATCTTCATCCTTTTCCTTTCCACCTGCCTCCACCTTTGCATCATCATCTTCCTCCTCCACTTCCTCTGCTGTATTGTGACTTTCAGCGTCTTCATGCAGACCTTCAGCAGTTGTATAAGCAACCGTGCCCACAGTGGTCGCTGATGTTACCGTGGACTCCTCTTCATTTTCCTCCACTGTCACCACCTTTTTTGTCTCTGCAGCTGAAGCCTCGTCATTCTCCACCCCGGCCAGCTCTGAGGGAAAAAAGAGTTCATGTTGAACTCCAGAAGAAATAAACTTGAAATTATATTTATTTGTAAACACACAACAGGGACAAAAGGTAAAAAATGACAAAAGAAACACAAACATGATACCAAAGGTGGGGAACGACACTAAGTGACACACAAGACAGACAGAAATAATAAACTCAATTTGTAACTGACACTGAATAAAAACCAAGTATTCAGAAAGTGAAAGTGTAAAACATCAGAGTAAGTCAAACATCTCAACAACTCCACCGTCTTCTTCTTTTGGCTGCTCCCTTTAGGAGCCACCACAGCGATCTGTCCACCACCCTGCACGCCTTCCAACAGTACATCCATCAGTCTCCTCCGTCTGAGCTCCTCCTCTTTCACTCCTGCCTGGCAGCTCCATCCAAACAAGCTTTGCTCAGTATTTCCACCATCCTTCCTCTACACATGTCCAAACATCTCAGCTTTGTCCTTGGACGTTGTCTCCAAACCGTTCGACCCGAGATGTCTGTCTGACATTTCTACTCGTCTCTGATCTTTTCCATTCTGGTCACTTAACATCTTCAGCTCAGCCTCCTGCCTTTTTATCAATGCTACTGTCTCCAAACCACACATCACCTCGTAAACTTTCCCTTTTACTCATCTCCACCCGCTCAGCCCTGCCTGCACTCTGTTCTTCAATACCTCAGCTCCAGCCTCCCTTTCATTCACACACATATTCTGTCTTGCTTCTACTGACTTTCATTCCCCTTATTTCCAGTGTATTCCTCCACTTCTCTCTCATCCACCTGCTCCCTGAGGAACCAAGACTTAAATAATAAGTCCAAAAATAAACCTTGACATCACTAAAATCACCCTCAAAACAAAAGGAATCCAAAACTAATAATAATCCAAAAACTTCAAGCACTGCGACGACGATCACAACCAAACAGAAATTTAAACTCAAACGCAACACAAAACCCTGAAACCACGACGACTTCTGTGTAACATAAAACTGTAATAACAGTAATAGTTACCACTGGTACAGAAATAAATAATAACTCTAGATATAACTCAGCAGTCAATGTAGCCTGTACCCAACGATTAGAAAGTAAGTAAAGCAAAAGTATTTGATTGGATTTTATTCATCATGAACTGGCTCAAAGTAGATGACAGGCAGAGAGTTCACACAAGAA